AGGCAAGCAATGAGAGCCTTGACCTTTTGAACCGTGCCACCAGTCTGAATCCGTAAACAGTAAGGTAATTTTAGGAAAAATGTTTCTCCTTCAACTGTCAGTTTTCCTTGCTACTCTGCACAGCAGCTTTTACATAAACATGCTTTTCTACATCATATTCACAATTTTCAAAGGCAAATTCTATAATAATCAAGAAAGATATGTAAAACCAAAGTTAGATGCCAAGACTGCAACATCCACATTGAAATCCCTATAGCATAAAACTCTTTCTTCTTCAAATTATGCATAGTTTTCCTTTTTACCACTACTGAACATCCCTGAAAGATCAGGCAGAAAATGATGCTAACTGTTCCAACAACTTTATGTTCTCAGAGTGATTATGCTCTTTGCGGAACAGCGCCTGGGGAAGCAGGTTGGTCCTGTCTCAGCACCAGGTCTCACTGCTGTCACCCATGTCACTCTGCTTCTCATTCTCCACTGGAGGGTGGAGTATCCCAAGAGGCACTATTCTCACATCCTGTCTTTCCTCATCTCTGTCTCCCAAGCCCCCGAATCTTATTTTAAAATAATGGAAGTAAAGAAGGTCAGCCAATAAAAGGCTCACCACCAAACCTGAGGACCTAAGTTCAGGCCTCAGCACCCACATCATGGAAGGAGAGAACTGACTCCTCTCCTCATGCACACAGATGTATGCTAAATTAATAGATGCAATGTTTAGTAAGCAAGGGACAAAAACCAGAAATAGAAGAAAAAAAAAAGAACTGTGACCCCAGGGTCAGCATGTTTCTCGGCCCTCTCTATGCACAAAGCTCATACAATAATAGAGTCTCCCCATCTCATAATACACTGCTTCAAGACTTTGGCTTTCCCAGTCTTGTTTACCCAAAATAAAATCTCACACCCGCAACTCAAGTCCAATATAAGAGCCTGATGAAACTGGAAGCAAGTATCATCTGAAGAGCTAGAAATACGAGAAGACACCTCATCTTCTAAACGCAGTCCCTGATCAGCCATAACAAACTGCTAGGTGTCTGGGTCCCTTTAAAGTTTCAGAGCAATGCTTGTCACTTGAACATTAGCATTCTGAAGATGCATGCAGTGAAAGACTGTGCAAATCTTACCTAACTATCTTAAGCCGCTAACAACTATGAGTCAGTCTAGCTGACAGAAGTTAAAAGCAAGGTCCCATTTTCAATCTCACACTTGAGCAATGTTTTCTCGATTAAATGGTAAAAATCAAGAAGTTAGCTAGTGAGCCAGGCATGGTGGCACATGCCTTGATTCTAGGCCTTAGGAGACAGAGGCAGGTAGATCCCTATTTCTACAGAGCTAGTTCCAGGACATCCGGGCTACACAGGGAAACCATCTCAAAAAAAAAAAAAAAAAAAAAGGAAATAAGCTTTCCTTGAAAACTAGAGAGTATCCAAGTTGCTAACTAGTCTTTGATTTTAAAAGTGTAGTTTGACACTGCAGAATACTATGAGCTACAAATCGGTCTATCTTCCTTAATGACTTTTTGTTTTGAGACAGGGTTCACCTATGCAATACTGGCTGGCCTGGAACTCACTCGCTATGTAAACTAAGCTGGTCTTACCGAACTCAGTGATCTGCCTGCTGGGCACCTAGTCAAATTTCCTTCCAATAGGTCACCACAAGCACTTACTGACAAAATTCTAACCAAAATTACCATGCACTTTCTCTATTTTGAGTAAAAGGTATTCCAAAGAACCTGTGTATATGTTGATACTCACGTGTGTAAATCTGAATGTGGATAAAAATACTGATTTCATTACAGCAAATAAAAAGTATCTGAAATATACTTATTTAGATTTGGGATAAATACCTCAACCAAAAAAATTAGAATCAACTTTTAAATAATATTAAAAGACCATTATTATTTTACAGGCAAAATTTACCTAAGAATCATTACTTGTAAAAAATAAATTTAAGAATGACCCAAAGATTAAGACTATATAAAATGTTTAATGTAATCCCAGGACTCCAGAGGCAAAGGTAGGTGGACCTCTGTAAATTCCAGGACAGCCAGGGCTACAAAGACCCTGTCTCAAAGAAAAAAAAAAAAAAGGATTTAAATATAAACTAGTTCCTGCTTTCAAATACTAACTTGACATTTGTGAGTGAAGATCAGAAACTGCAATTAACAAACTAGAAAGCTAGACGTCTTTGCCAGTAACTAACTGCTGTCTGTGAATTTCAAGGAAACCTATTTTTCATGACATTTTTACAAGTGAACTCATCTACCCTCTCATCTCAGCATTTTCTCAATTTCCCATTACAATGAACAATGAAACTCAGCGGTCAAGTCTTCCAGACCAATAACCTCAGAATTTATTTTTAACTCCTGACTCCACAAATATTCCCCTTCAGTCCAGTCCAAAAGCCCTGCCAGCTTTTCACTCACAGCCTTCAAATCTGTTCCTTTCATCCCATTTTCACATTCCCCTTCCTGACTTATAACATCATCTGCAATCTCCCAGAAAGGCTTCTTATGTCTCTCCAAGTCACCTTGGAACATCCTGTTCAGCAATCCAGTTAGTGCAGATCGCTCTTAGATCCCCACCCAAATTTTTACAGGCCTCTTTTGTTCTTTATTAACTAACTTTCTAAGACTCAATACCTAGCCCCTTCTTTGCCCTCTCAGGGAACACTGGACTCCGGCTGTCCCTTCTCCCAGCACCAGGGCATGCTTCTTCATCAGTTCATGGATACCAGCACCTGTCTAGCCCAGGCCATCTCTAGAAACCTTCCTGCTCCAGCCCCTTTCCCTTTGTTCCTCTGAACAACTGATTCATTTTGCAACTTTATAACCTCCCAGTCACCATGTCATTGTCTTCACAGTTTTCTGAATGTGGTTCTGGGGACAAGGACTATGTCTTCTGTACCTGAGATTTTAAGAGTCCCTTTAGGAACAGCAGCACCCTAACAAATTCCTGCCTCTTTCATCTACATGTCCTTAACCTGAACGTCAAGGTTATTAAATATATATGGGGGCTGGAGAGATGGCTCAGTGGTTAAGAGCATTGCGTGCTCTTCCAAAGGTTCTGAGTTCAATTCCCGGCAACCACATGGTGGCTCACAACCATCTGTAATGAGGTCTGGTGCAGAGTATTGTATACATAATAAATAAATATTAATATATATATATAATTAGCGTTAAGCTCTTTCATATCAACATCTTTTTAATGTTGGCTGATAAGGTAATACAAAAATTAAAACACTTTAAACTACACTCCTCAAATTTACTCCATCCCTAAAGAACCTCTATCAAGAATTAACAAGTTGTTTTCAAGAAAAATCCTGAAAAAATATAAAAAGTTCCCAATTTCTGGTATTTTATTCTAGCATCACAGATCTCTGAAACCTAATAAATGGATTGCCTAGAACTAACTGCCTGGTTTAACTAACCAAAGCACACAGCACACACGGAAGCACCACCAAAAGCTCTTCTTAGGCAGCTATCATGAGGTCTTCAGAGCTGAAAATTACCCTCAAATTTTTAAAAATTCCTTTCAAATGACTCCACAAAGTGCTTAGAAAGCATGATTCTTCCCTGTAAGATGCAAATCAGCTTCCCCCTTTACATACCCTGCAGTCTAAACTAGCTAGTCACTGAAGGAAAAAGTTAACTTGCAAAAACATTTCCCATTCAGCCATCTCTTTGGACTCCCAGTTTCGGGCAAGTTCCAAAAGCCTACACGAACTGAAGTCTCGGGTGCAACAGAAAGGAATCGTTTCCGATTGCTTAATCAATTTCACACAACAGCACATACATTTTGACTTTTGAAAAATCTCAGTTCTCCAGTTAGCTCAGCTTCTCTCAGCAGCAAAGGGCTTTTGGGTCCCCATTCTTCCTTCTCACAGAATAAGGGAATGAGCTATTTTTGCCAGAATCTGCAAGGTTGCTGTCAAATAAGCTGTCATTAAATACCACATAAACATCTCCACAAATAGATCCATTTAAACGCTGGATACTCAGTATATCAAACACTTCAAGAACACAGACTTTCAACGCAGATAGATCCGCCGGCAAAAGACGGTGACAGATATTAATACATTTTAAATAATCCTAAAAGGGTATTCACTTGTACTCTAAAAATTAACAAGTAATGAATGCAATGACACCTCAAAATTAAATTTAAATGACAAGTCAGGGACAATTAGCACTTAACTTAGTATTTGATACAATGATACTACAATCTCAATCAAACGTTGAATCTACTTCCAAGTTACCTTTTGATTAAAACAAATTATATGGTGGCAGATTGGCCACGTCAAAACAGGAAGGTTAAGAGATAACACATTAGACCACTTATCCAATTGAAGACAATGCACTTAGAGATGCAACTGCTGGGATATTTATCTGGGGTATTTCTCAGCTTTTACCAGTCCCTAGTAGAGCGAGGAAGGGATGCCAGCTTGCCTGCAGCGGGAATGTGGGTTACCAAGCAAGTCATCCCCAGATTAAGAAATACTTTGTATAGTCACACGGGCAAAAAGAAATATTAGGAGCCTGGGACACTTAATATCTCTGTTTAGAATACAGAACCATGATAACCTAGGCTAAGTAAAATAACCTCCCTCATTCCAGAAGACACATACTCGGCAAATGTACATCATGGTTTATTAATCAAGTTTTGTCCTCCTTATTCAAAGGGATGGGCAAGTGAACGCTTCCGTCGCTTTTTTGACCTGGAGGCACAGGAGCGCTTGAAAAGGCAGCGAGAAGAAAACGAGTTTCAAATTCGACCAGCCAAATAAAACTAATATTCTCTGAATTCAAGGTTAATGAGGCTGGGGAATGGGATACGGACCTGGGAGGAGAAAAAGGAGATGCTTCGTCTCGACTCAAGGCAGGTTTTGCCCTTTTCCATTACCTCTGCTGGTTCTATCAGGTCTGTTAGTTTAAGGTCCTGGTATTTCGAGGTTTCTTATCTTAATGGTGAGGTGGAGAAAGGGTGTAAAATAAAATCGATACTCACTGCTAACTTTCATGTTACCAAAAGCTGAAGGCTGCTGCACTGGCTTGCAGCTCTCTGCAAAAGAGGTGGTTCTCGGTCGCCCCGACATGACGGCTCTTCTTGAATCACCTTTTCCTTCCTTAATCCTTTTCTTCCTTTTGTTTTATATTAGGGTGCTACGTTAATGATAAATGCAGCATTAAGTTCTCCCGCAAGAAAGAGAAAGAAAAAAAAAAGACTCCGTCCTCTTGGCTTTTCACTCCTTTTGTATAGCTATTAAAAAAATGAGAGCGATGTATTTCTCCTTCAAGACAGATCAGTACGGATATTTAACACATAGATGATTTAGGGCTGGGGGAAAAAATACAATTCTTTCGCCTCCCTTTCGTGGGAGGGGAGAAAAAGGGTGGAGTGGAATCCTTAAAAATATATATATATATATATCACGTGAACGAGGGCAAATACTTGATTGAAAATAAGTACTCTGAGTATTATATTTTCCTCGGGGATTTTTTTCCGAGTCAATGAAGAAGGGAAGCCGCGGAAGGATCACGAGCCTCACGCTTGAAGAGAAGGGGGATGGGAAGGAGGGAGGAGATGGCTCGGAGATGCGACGGCAAACGCTGCGGCTCCGGCAGCAGCGGGATCCGGCGGACTGACGGCGGCGGCCGGGTGAACCGGAGGGCAGCGGAGTCGCGAGTCAGCGGCGGGCGGTGGCGGCGGCTCCTCTCCTCATTGCGCCAGGAGCAGCTGCAGGCGGTGGCTGGATCCAGCGGCCATGGCGGCGGCGGCGGCGGAGGCAGCTCCCTTCAGACCCCAGGCAGCGGCTCCTTGACTGCTCCCCATACGCCGGGGACATGGGAACCCGGCAACCGCTTCCGTCCCTCGGGGTCCCCTCCCCCGTCCGCGGCCCCGGCACGGCCGGCCTCCGCCCCTCGCTTCTGCTCAGCGGCTGCTCAGGAAGTGTCCGCGCTGTGCCCCGAGCCCGAAGCCCTGTCAGCGGCTGCAGGGCCGGCTCCTCCTCACTGCCTTCCTTCCTTTGTCACTCGGCCCAGGCGGCAGCGACGGCGGCGGCACAAGTCCGCATTCGGCCGGGTCGGGGGCTGCTCTGTGCGAGGCGCGCCGTCTGCGCAGCCGCCTAGCCCTTCCCCACTCCCCCTCCCCCTTCCTACTCGTCCTCCGCCTCCTTCCTCCCCCACCCAGCCTTACACCGCCCAGCGCCCCGCCGCCCGCGTAACAGGCGTCTGGGAATCGCCCGCCGAGCCCGCGCCCGCCAGCTTCGGCTAGGAAGCCGAAGCCCAAACCGGAACCAATCAAAGACGTCGTTTGCTTGCGGCTCCTGCCGGAAAAAGCCGAGCGGCCTGAATAACCAATGAGAAAACGCCGCCGGGAGACCACGCCCCAGCAACGAGGAATGCCGACGGCAGCCGAAGCGAAGGAAGGTGGACTCGCCTCGCTCCGTGGCTGGCTGGAGACGAGATTCGACAATAGCAACAGTGGCCAATCAGAACGGCCGGCCCGCAGGGAAAAGCCTGAAGAGTTAAGGACGGCGAAACTCCCGAGTCGCGGGAGGAACTGCACGGCTGGGCGCCGCGCCCGTCTCCTCATTGGCTGAACAACTCCGCTGGGCGTGTACCTTTCTCCATGATTGGTGAAGAGACGGGGGCTTCCGAGGACATCCGGCCAGTCAGAACTTCCCCTCCCTCTTTGAGGTGGGGAGAAGAAGAAAGCGGAGGGAGGGCGTCTATAAACTGCCATCTTATTGGTCTGCAGCGTCGAACTAAAGCGGGGGGGGGGTGAGGAGGGGAATGAGGGGTGCGCCATGGCGAGAAAGGAGGGTGTAGGGGGCCCGTGGCCGCAGCCAATGGGTGCTCACTGCCGTGCCATCGCAAGACCTAGCTGCAGTGGGATTGGCCTCGGGTCGTCCTTAGAGCGGGCGGACGGGCTGACTGGTTGGCCGGCGTCTGCTCCCCGACAGGACGCTCGTGCCGGCTGTGCAGCCGGTGTGAAAGTGCTGCGGTCGGCGGGCTGCACTCGGAGCGCTCGAGCGGGGCGAGGGGCCGTCCCCATTCCCCGAAGCTCGGCGGGGCGCGTCTAGGCGTGTGCTGAGCATCTGAGCCCCTCTTCCCCCGCCAAAGGCTTAGAGCCGCCGTGGCTTGGGGGTCGAACCCTCTGGCGCCCAAATAGGAACAAAGCGTCCAGAGAGGCAGCGCCTCTGGGCAGCCGCCCCCGCCCATCGCGGGGGGGACCGCTGCTAACACTGGGCCCTTTGCGGCAGGCGCAAGCAGCCAGGCCCGACCTTCTGGAAACGCCCCCGAGAGATGAGCTCATGCTAGATGCGCGCGCTCCTTGGGCGCGACTGCCCATCTCAAAAGCAACCCCGAAAACAGGTGAGGGGAAATGTGGTCAGACCCAGTTACCCCGAAGCCTCCGAGGAAGCGGGAGTCAGAATTGCTCGTAGCAATTTTTCGTCTTTTAGGTGATCTGCACACTGCTGCTTAAGTAGGTTTCACACGTAGTCCAGCGTCCATTGTTCTACAAGGGAACAATTGCCTTGGTCCATCCGAGAGCTGTGTGGTATGGCTACAATGACTAGAGTAAGTTAGAGTGGACACTCGCAACCCGGATTGGAATCCCGTGATGCTTGTAATATCCACCTGCATAGTCATCTCTTTCTGTTCCGATGCTATCTCCAGAAAGCACATGTAAAAGTACACGTACTTGATCAGATTACCTAGCTGTTGCTTTAAAATCTGATGAGGGACTTGGGTCAGAACAAAGTAAGCTTTGATGGGAGACGGTAAAGGTCTGGATAGTGTTTGCAGACTCAGATGTCTACAGAGAGCTTGACAACGCGGATGAATGAGACTGGCCTGGTAGAAGACAATGGGAATGTTAGGCGATGTGGAAACGGGTGTATCCATCCATGCCCTTCAGGAGAGCAGCTGTTCAGCTTTAGCAGATTATTGCCTTATAGGAACGTTGGTCCGCCACTGAGATAATCGTATTCTCCTTTTTTGTTACCAAAACCATAACGTTGGGTTTTTCTATGAGATCTTTAAATCTTAAGTGTTGGCCACCAGAATGTCAAAACCGTGTAGACCAAAGGAAAATCCCGGAAAACGTGCCCAAGAGGCAATCAATTTGTAAAGTCATCCCTTAGCATAGTTTTGATAGCCCAAGAACGGTAGAGGTTCTTGCTTTTCACAATTAAAATAGAATATAAGGTCACTGGATGCCATGGGGAGGGTAAAGAATGTTGCCAAGCAAAAGCCTTGCTTGGCAACTTTCTCATTTGAATGGTGCCTCCCCCGTGCTATTATGAAAAAAGACCTTTGCCACTGTTCCTAAAATGCTTCTATGCAAAACTTTAAATCCTTCCTACCTAATTATACCAACAGCAAAGTAAATAACAAATGCTTAGTTTATAGAAACTGGCAGCATGGCTATTCTTATATATAGAACTAGTATAAAAATAGTCTACCTTAAGGTTAGGATTAGTAACTTTTCTGTTGCCTTCACATATTTTTAACTCGTGAGTTTTAAATCTGCCCAAGGTTTCCCTTTTCACGGGGAAGAAAAAAAAATACACATTCCAGTCCACAAATAGGACTTGGGGAAAGAAAAGTTTACTTAATAAAACAGGGAATGACCGGGTGTGGTGACACACACTTTTAATCCTAGTTCTGCAGAGGCAGGTAGCTCTCTGAGTTCAAGAGCAGCCTTGTCTACATAATGAGTTCCAGGCAGGGGTGGAAGGGCATGGAGACCACAAAAATATTGAAACTTAATATTCAGTCGTGGTTTTCTGAATCTTAACACTTCTTACTTTATCTTCCTATATGGTGGGAACTCCAGGGCATAGTATTAGTGTACCCAGATAATGCTTTCAAATATTTTTGTACGCACTATCTCACATAAAAAAAATTTTTTTTACAGTGATGGGCATGCCAGGGAAACACTACCACTGAGCTACACCCCAGCCTGCCACTTAAATAAAGTGTTATTTTCAGATTGAGTCAACTGAGGTCTTGAAAGGTGGCTCATTTTTCCAGGATCCACAGAATTAACCGAGCAGAACCAGTATTCACATCCCTTCTTCTTAGCCTCCACAGTTCTCTCTCCTGACACAGTCCCCATGTCTCCTAGGGTCTGGTAAAGGCACTAACTTTTCAAGCCTGATTACCTAAATTACATTCCCAGAATCCATCTGACAGTGGAAGGAGAAGACCAAGTCCATGACATTACCCTCTGGCCTCCACATGAGTACATCGTGGCACACACCACTCCCAATAATAATAATAAAGGACAGGTCTCTCACTAAACCAAGAGCTCACCAATATGGCTAAACTGGCTGGCCATTGACCTCTGAGAATCCACCTGCCTGTACCCCAGCTTTAATGTGGGTTCTAGAAATCTGAACTCGGGTCCTCATGCTTGCACTTTACCCACTGAGTCAGATCCTCAACCCTAAAATACCTAATTTTATTTTCTTAATTATTTTATGATTCAATGTGTATGGGTGTTTCCTCTGTATGCTTGTCTGTGCTTGGTGCCTTCAGATCACCTGGACCTGAAGTTACTGACAGTTGTGAGCTGCTATGTAGGTGTTGAGCAGTCAGTGTTTTAGGGTTTTTTTGTTTTGTTTTCTAGACAGGGTTTTTCAGTGTATCAGTCCTAGCTATCCTGGAACTAGCTCTTGTAGACCAAGCTGGCCTCGAACTCACAGAGATCCGCTTGCCTCTGCCTCCTGAATACTGGGATTAAAGGTGTACACTACCACTGCCCAGCACAGCCAGTATTCTTCATCACTTAACCAACTCTCCAGCCCCCAAATACCTGATTTTAAAAATTTCTGTTTATACTCAGGCAGTGATGGTGCACTCCTTTAATTTCAGTACTTGGGAGACAGGTAGGAGAATCTCTATGAGTTCAAGACCAGCCCTGTCTACAAAGCGAGTTTCGAGACAGCCAGGACTATTACACAGAGAAACCCTATCTCGAAAAATGGGAAGAAAAAAAAAAGACAACGAAGGATTAGGAGGTGTGGCCTTGGAGGAAGTATGTCACTGGGGTCGATTTTGAGGTTTCAGAATCCCAAGCCAAGCCAAGTGGCTCTCTCCATTCCTGCTGCCTATGGATCTAGATGGAGAACTCTTTCTTCAGCTCCTTCTCCGCCAAGCTCATGATGAGAATGAACCAAACCTTTGAAACTGTAAGCCAGCCCTAGTTAAATGTTTTCCTTTATAAGAATTTATAAGAATTGTCATAGTCATGGTGTCTCTTCACAGTAATAGAACACTAAGACAGTGACATTCTCAACAGGGATAATTATTAAATTAAAATATCATTAAACTGAAAAATGGTGAAGATGTTCTACATCATGCAACATCAAATATTCCACCAAGATTTAATTCTTGATACTTACTTATGTAGTTATAGGATAAAGATTGCACTAGTGAAAGACAGGACAATGATGTGGGAGAGTGCTCTGGTATATTGAAAAGATTTGTCACTTGTATTGGTTTAATAAAATGCTGATTGACCAGTAGCCAGGGAGGAAATATAGGCAGGGCAACCAGACCAAGAGAATTCTGGGAAGAGGAAAGGCAGAGAGTCCATCACCAGCCAGAAGCAGAAGAAACAAGATGAATATGCCTGAGAAAAGGTACCAAGCCATGTGACTAAATATAGGCAAGAATTATGGGTGAATTTAAATCGTAAGAGCTAGTTAGTAATAAGCCTGAGCAATAGGCCAAACAGTTAATATAATTAAAGGCATTTGATTAAAGGTATTAAATATATGGTATTAAAGGCATGAACCACCACTACCCAGCTTGCTTACTTACTTTATATACCCATATACCTGGGGTCATGTAAAATTTTCTCAGGCAAAAAAGGATCACAAATAGAACAATCTTAAGCAGCCTTGCTGAAATTAATACAGCGGAAAAGAAGATTTTCAAACCTATAACTTTCATGTCCTTCCCCTAGCAATTCCTTTATAGAAAATTATTCAAAATTAACAAAACACTAAAGTCCATTTGATGAGCATTTATTCAGCTCTCACCATCTTTGTAGGATACCATGATATGTATTAAAAGCACAGAAGTATTACAATGAATGAAAGCCATTCAGGTAT